AGATGTAACTATTTTCGTCAGTTATCGCACATTCCTTTTCCTCAATTCGTGTGTGCGTGTACCGTGGTGGCTTGAAATGTTGCAACTGTTTAGCCAAAGTGACTTTGGTTTTGGCTTGGCATATTCACAGGCCCAAGCACATGCACATAAACATTTCAGGTCATCTCATCGATTTTTAATTTCACTTAGGACACAAAACCTATTACAACTTGGCTACTTATTTCATCGCTTATTTTCGTTCGCTCAAAAAAAAACAAAACATAAATTCATTTCAGTCTTCACATTGTTGATTATTAATCTTATTTGTCTCTTTCACCACTATTCGTTTTGCTATCCAAAAAAATCAATAATCGCAATTGTGGCAAACAGACATCAACATAATTTCTGAGGCAGTCAATTCATTATCCAAAATCAATACCAGTGCGCGCTGTTTGCACCACCATTACAATAGCTTAAACAAAAAGGAATATCAAAAGTGGAAAAGATTCGGCTCAGCATTGATGGGAAGTGTGTGGTGGTGGGGGGGGGGGGGGGGGGGGGATTGGGCCAGAAGGATTCGTGAGAACCACATTTATTCTGGACTTAAGGATCATCAGTAAACAATGCAATAAATTTAGAATTTAGTCTATCTTGCCTCACGTTATCACTGCCTTCCGATTATGAAAAATCTAGTTGAAAGAACATCATATGGTATGTTTCCCACATAATTCTTGTAATAATTATCAATTTGATTTATTATCATCTGATTTGTGGTAATCAATCCTATGATGATGCAACTGCATTGCAATTTCAGTCGTGCCACGTGTTCGCATGTGTATTTTTTCACCTTAACGCTCAAAAATTTGAACATGGTTTGCTTTTGATAATGTGGGGAAGTAAATAAATTTTTGCTTCTTGATGTGTCATCCAAATTGCGTTTTTATACTAGAGCCATCTGCTTAACATCTGCATATGGTTGCCTTGGCCATTTCAAGGCCACTTTTTTACATCTTACTTCTGCACACTGAATTTTTTTCCCTCTTCAATTTTGTAACTGCGTGGCTGGAGGTTTCATGGGGGTGGGGGGGGGGGGGGGGGGGGGGGATTTTTGGCTGGTATTTGGAAGTTCATTTCTCCTCTACTGTACTTAAGACTAATCTGCTATTATCCACTTTATGGATACCAGTAAAATCGGTCCGAGTTTCAAATGCACTTGTGAGATTCCTTGACATTCAAGTCTCTTAAGCTGTCCTCTCACTGATTTTCCTATCCCGATTTCCGATCAATCAGTTATAATCCAATTTGTTTCAATAATTCTCTAGTCCTCCTGTTTATGAAAGATTATTCGAGTAGTTAGTTTGTACAATGATTGGTCACAAAAATATCGTACAAGACAGTTGGCATTAAAGTATTATTTCAAGGCATCTCGTAATTTATGGATCAATGCCATTCTAATAATATAGTTGATGATTATGTTATAGTACCATTCTCTCCTGTTCTCAAAGTCAATATGAACCTTTGTTACAATTCCATTTCACCATTATAGGTCTAGTCAATCCAAGACATTCATTTAATTATCAAAGATAGGAAATAGGGTGCTCCTCTTTATTTGTTGAAATCATTAGAATATTGATTTGGAAGGCAGCAACTACTTAAGTACTTTTTTACAATAGCGAATTAATTTGGAAATTCAAACAACCCTATCATTGTAACTTTGGCGATGACTCTACAGCACTTGCGCAAGCTGACTCACTGGTCTCTACCAGTCTCCGCATTTCGTACCAACTGACTCATACCTCTAACTTAATTGACAATGGTTTTATGCTAGCTTACTTCACCCATTCCACTCAAACCGGACTGTCCAAGCTCACTGCCAGTACTTCCTTATTCCCTCACCATTCCTCTTCTCGTTCCCAACTAATTTCCCCTCTCACTCACGCACTCACGCTTAGCAGTACCATTTCCCAGTAGTCTTAGGAGGATCATTGGTTCTATGAGAGGCTATCAAACCTAATCAGATTGAACTCTTAAAGTAGATCAACCTGGAATAGGGGGCTGCTTTGATGAAAAGAATGTTGCCTCTTACTATTTTAACGCCATTTATTCCTTTTTGTCCTAGATAATTAACTTTGGTTTTATGACCACCCTTGATACCTTTGAAGGGAAAGAGTACAATTAACTAAAAACAGTAGGATGGTCTTTTAAAATTTTAGGAGCCTTGAAACCATTTCAATGTAAATTTGAATCTACTACTGCCATCATGAGATGAGATATTTCGGATTTCTCCATCACTTCTGGGGAGGGATAATATTTTTTTAATAAATGGAATCATGGACACGCAGGACTTTGAATTAATAAAAATCGGCCCTGTTTAATGTAAGCCCATGTCTTTCAAATTATAACTCATGATCGATAATAATGGGCGTTTGTAAAATCAATATTGTAGAGGTTTTGTCTCAACTTTCCAACATTATTTCAATTGTAAAGTGGCAATGGTTAACTTAAGTTATCACGATGATAGATCGAATAAGTCATTCCCACGTGGTCGATAAGAATTTTTTTTAGATTGTTGGCTAATAATTGGATAGAGTTAAAATTTCAAACTATACTTGTCTACTCACCTCTATTAAGTGGGTTTTCTCATTCACGGTTACATGAGGGGGTGATATCTAGTCTTAAATGCTTCGTTGTCCAATTCAGTGGGGTGTATTTATTTGTTAAATAGGTGAATGAGGTGCCACTGAGTGTCTTCAGTTTACTTTATTTTCCTTACTTTGACCCTGCACATCCAACTGAAATTGATCCAATTAATAGAACAATTCGGACTGCATTGTAAAGCGTGCTAGAAAAATTAATATTTTTGCGGAGCTTTCATGAACAATGCATCAACTTTCCCTGCCCTTGGACCTAAACACATTTCACTTTAACCCTTAGGGGCACATAAGCATTTACTTTTTGCAGTGAGAAAAGAACTCGTACCTCAGACAGTGACCTTGAGTTGTCAATGCATGTCCTGTTTACAGGCACACCCCGTACCAAGCCTTGCTTAGGAATTTTCGTCTCTTTCCTGACTTCCTGATTTGTCGATCAAAATATTCTGTTGCGAATTTTGTGTCCTCAATTTAACTCTCCTGCTTCCCTTAGAAACAACAGCTACCACAATTTTCTCAAATGGCCTTTTATGGTTTATTAAACAATTCATTCTATAAAATTAGTAAATTTCCACTCAGGAAAAAATGCCTCGATTTCAAGAAATAAAAGTCATTTATTATTAGATTTTGAAATAGCGATTCTCTTAAATTAGAGAAGTATTTACTTGATTCTGGAGCCTGCCTCAGTGTATTCCTACTGATTATGAAATTGTTTTGGACAGAAAAATAAATTACATTTTTATATATGGCTATAATTGCACATAATTAATGAATTTTCTAGGTCGCCTACCTGATTTTAAGGTCAACTATAGGTAAGATTACAAAATCAGGTTCAGACTGGAATCAGTTAGTTAATTAATTTCCGCAATTACTTTTAGGAAAAAATGTATTTTTAATTCTAAAAATGCCCTAACAATACCAATTCAAAGTTAAAATAAAACAAATCGATATGGGGGGAGGGAGGGGGTACAACACTTTCTGAGAGCTAACAATTTTGTTCTGTAGAATGAACTATTAGGGAAGTGCTATTAAGGTAGCTAGAAGTCACTAGCACTTTTGACGGACTCAAGTTCTTTAGGGTGAAGTGCGAACTAATTTTGTTTTTTTTAAGGTATATTAAAATGTGTGCATTTCCCCACCTTGAATAGGCTTAGTTGTGCATAAAATGTCATTGCTTTTCAAATCAAACCGATCTTAAAGCACTTCTACAAGCTCGAAATATCACTAACCCCCCTAGGAAACCCATAAACCAACCACGAAAACTGCGCGAAAATAAAAGTCGAAAGGTGAATTATGCTTTTTATGGGAAAGTGGGTAATTTAATTCGCTTAGAATTTAAACAACCTAAGACCGCGTGTTCAGACACACCCGTGTGATCAAAACTTACAGATTTTCCATTATCGGTGGTGAAAATAACCCCCTCGTGTTGATTATATTGAATGCAAAAAGAGGAATGAATGTTTACCCAACTCCAAAATTTAATGCGAGTTGATGATGCAGTTCGTCAAAATGATAGTCATTTGTGGTGTTGTTGAGCACGTGTGTAATTTTAGAGAGAGAGGGGGGGGGGAAGTCAAGTCTGCTCAGAGATGTGACGCTATACCCAACAAATTTGAAAAAAAAGACCCTGATTAAAGGCGAAGAAGGTATTAGGCAGATAAATTGTGGATTTCTTTATAAACAAATATGAGATATGAACAACTGCATACGAATGAGCCTTTTTATATGCATGAAGAGAGTCGTGAGAGAGAGATATAGAGAGAGAGAGTGAGAGAAAGATAGTGCTAATGCAAAGTAACATAACCACACGCAAAAGGAGGAGAAAATGAGAAGATTTGGTAGTGGTCAATGGACACGCAGGGGGGAGGTGAGTAAAAGGAGTGGGGTGGGGTTGGGTTGGGTTGGAGGTGGGGAGAGGGAGGGAAATCACTATTGTTGTCAATGGTTGAAAGGCAGTGGAAAAATACCTGCTCTTTTGAATGCAGAAGGGGAAGCACTGTTATGCAACACATTTTTGACAGGAAAAAAAAGGAAGAAGAATGTTAACCGAATTAGACATACCTTCTTTAATAGTCGAGTCTTCTACTAAGATTGATTCAGGAAGTTTATTTCGAGGGTTTAGAGAAATGACGAAGAGAGAAGTCAGCAATATGCATATATATTTCTATGGATCTTCGGTCAGTGACTAGTAAGAATAGTCCAGTATGTGAAATTACGATTATTTCCAAGTTTCTAAGCTCACTTAAATACAACATGGAAGCAGTTAAGGTAAAGAGAGCGAGAGAGATTGTGTAAAAGAAGTAAGAGACAAATCAGGGGAGAATAATAGAGGAGAGAGAGGGTGAGAGTTGGGCTAATCCAAAAGGCATCCTAGTGACGAAGTTCGGGGACATTGTCAAGACTACCAAAGACAGATTTGAGTTGATTTTCGTAGTTATCAATATTGCGTTGCATGATATCCAGACAAGGACCAAGGAGGCGTTCAAAGCTGCCAACATCTAAGACTGCTAATTTAGCTCTGGTGACAGCGTATGCCGACGCAACACGAGCATGCTTAGTCAAGAGAGCAAGTTCACCGAAAAATCCGCCCTTCTTAATGCGATTCACATCAGCTTCCTCATCTGATCCAGTCTGCTTCACGGTAATACGAATTTCCCCGTCTTCCACGAAATACATCTCATTACCCACTTCACCTTGGCTAATAATCTTCTCTCCCGGCTCGAAGATTTGCGTATGAAGAGCATCAGCAATACTCATGCGTTCATAGGCACTTAGATTTTGTAGGATACCGACCTGATTGAGCAACTCCTCATACATTTGTCGCTTTTTAAACGCACTCTTGAGTACAATACTCCTAAATGTCTCCCGAGTCATGGCCCACACAATCCCAGGAGTTGTAGCTTGAATTGTTGCAGCTCGAGGAGTGTTATACATGAGAGCAAGTTCACCGAAAGATCCATTGTTATTGTATTCTCCAACCTTTTTCTCAACTCCATCAACTTTTACAATAATATCAAACACTCCTTTCTCGATTACGTAAAAGTAATTACCATCTTCACCAAGAGTAATAACCTTCTCACCAACTTCAACCTTTTTTTCGAACATGGCATCAATAACATCCCTCATTTGGTCGTCATCAAGGCTCTTGAATAGAAGGATGCTTTTTGTGGCGTTGAGCAATCTTTCACGCTGCTGCTCTGTTTTCTCATGAATAATTTTCTCATATTTGTCATCGTCTTTTTCCGGATCGTAACTTTCAGCAGCAACACCCTGTCGACGTTTTCCTCTAATTGGAGGCCTAATGATCTCCTCTTCCTCATCACTTTCAGCATTTTCATTATGCTTTTGTTCTTTCTTCTTCATTTCAAAATAATCCGCAGCAAAATGAATGATGTTAGTTGGGCGCTGGCGTAAAACCGCGACGGTAAATTCCTGCAGAATTTCGCGTAGGCCCGGTGGTACATCAACAGTTTTCTTCGACATGCTGGCTATGTGCGTGTACGTGCGGTCGTGAAAGTGGGAAATGAATGACCTCTGGCTCTCACCACCACAGATCTGTGTAAAGGATTAGCCAAATACGCAGAATCTGCGATCCCTGCTACATACGCTCTAGCCTATCTCTAGTCTCATTGGCAGCCTCTGCTTGTCTATTCTGGACCAATCATTTTCAAGGTTAGTGTTCGCAAAGCATGGTTTGATTGCACGCGCATAAATCTGAGTAACTTGATTGGTCGTCAAGCCCCAGCCATTACACGCCGCCCCACTGCACACACACACACTAACACTTTAGGCTAATCGAAGGGTATTTTGATATTAATATTTCGCTAGAGCTAGTGTTAGAATGCATAATAAGGTGCCAACTTTTTATTTCTATAAACCAGATATTTTCTTCCAAACTGCCGGAAATTGTCGACGAAGCTGGCATGTAAACTAGGATTTGCGTTATTCTTGAGCAAATCTACTTCATTTGGAACGTTTAAACAAATCTATTACGCTCTATAGCAAAAGGATGAGTTAAAGGTAAAGCATTCGTATTAAAGTTCCTTACATGTGGTGCTAAAATACTTAATTCCCCTTGAATTGACTGTGGAAATAATTCTCTATTTTAATTGCTTTCATATATTTAGCCTGATTTAAATAGTATAAAATTTTAAAAGCAGTACGTTGACTCTTTTTGAAGTGTTGCCTTCATATAAATTCATTTTTCTCATAGGAATTCAAAATATAAATTTTATAAAAGGTGAATTACACTTGTAGACATGAAGTGATTAAGGTTAATGGGGTATTTCCGGGCACTGTTTGGGAATTACAATTCCCGAACTGAAATTATACGGCGAAAATATCTTACGTACCCATTATTTATGCTTTAAATAAAAAATTATTATTCATTGGAAATTTATCATTGATATTTAAACGAACAGCACATTGGTATTTTACTTCACTAAAACCGTTGCCTTACTCAAGCGCATTTCGTCATATGTTTTCCGAATTATAGACTAGTATTAATAGAAATAAAAGAATATTTAGTAATAATTAGGGGTGGGAAATAAATTTTCTATCCACGACGACTAGATGCAAATATAAAGTTGGTTTCATCACAAAATCAACTCTATTGAAGTTGGCATGTAAGGGTGTGACCTTTTTATAAATACATCGAAAATAGAGAACTTATGCACTCACAATTCCAAATGATTAAATTTACGCTGTTGTTTTAAACAAAGAGCTTGTCTTCGTTCAAATTGTCATTTCTCAGACTCGAGAATTATTCTTTCAGTTTTAATGTAATTTTATCACCTTATTAGTGAATTCATGTGCACAAAATAATTGATTATTCTTAAAACCATCTAAATAAAGGAATTTACCCGGCTGAAACTATATTCCTTAGTCGGATCAATATGGTTCAAGCTGGAGAACCGTCTGATGGAGTTCTAGGGGACCATTATTCTATAATTAAATTCATTGATGACATAAAATTCTTAAATACTGGTGTCGTTGTTTCATTGGTCTTTAATAAACGCCATCAATCAACATTATCATGGCGAACTTGTTCGTGTATATTGAGTTTTCTATAGCCCAGTTGAGTTGATCATTGGAGGCTTCACGTCGTCAAGGCCAATGTAGTGCCAGAATCATATTGAGTGAATATTTTACCGAGAGAGAAAGCGAAAACGTTATTCATTAAATCTTTGGAAATATTTATTCAGTTGGTACTGATTATGACCACATTTGTCAAAAGTGTGACCATTACCAAAGGTTACTGCTAGTTCTTCCATACTGTACCTCAGTGTAAGTTCCCCCTTTAGTTTTTTTAAAACGTCCTCGAACACTGAAATTTCTAATATTTCGATTGTTTTAAATTCCAACCTTTAAGTAGTTAAAAGGTTGTACATTTTCGTTATTTTGGGTTCAGTATGGCCGAACTTACCGAAAAGCAATCATGCAGTCCATTGAAAAAATTTAACGGATTCATTATGCAAAATTTTCAGAATTTTCAATATTTTTGGAGGGGAGGTATTATGGAACTGCATTAATACGAGACTTGTGTGCTTCCACCTCGCTTTTTAACTAAAATTAATGGGTATTGTCGGTCATTAAATCTGCACCAATGTGAATCAACACGTAATCTCTGTCTAATTAGGTGTGTATGCTAAGCGTTATTACATCGAGGTATAAATGTAGAGTATTAATAGTGAAGCAGTCTATGTTCCTGTTTAAGTAGTCAGGCATCGTGGTTTTAAAATACACCAGTCCAAGCCCTATGATTATGAAATTGATTCAGCCGTTTTTACGCAGACTACTGGAGAGGTTGAGAAACACCATTTTCAAAATCGGAAACTTCCACTATTTACAGTCAAATTTAAAAGTCACACTTACTCCTGTGGGCAGCGTGCTCGTATGCCAGCTTTGAGCTTATGACATTGCCGTATACAACTAAGAATGCCAATATACTTTTTAGATTTATCATTTCTGAGGAGAATATAATAGAAGAAAATCGACCACTTGGGGAAGCCTCATTCGTTAGTGCCTTCCTCTTGTTCCATTTCAAATTTAACCACTTTATAGATTACTGGATGCATAACAATTGTAAAGAGCCCGATAGTTCTAAAACTGTAAAACTTTGTATCCGCCTGATTTAGAATCTAGAAAAGGAAGGCTCATGGATTGTAGCTGTAAATAGCATACAACTTTATTAAGGGTCATCTTTATGGAAACATATTCGTATTCTTTTCCTAAGTATATAGAAAAAAAGATTAAATCTGCAATTTGTAAAGAAGTAGTAACTATCTAAATTAACGAGGGTTTATTACTTACTATCTGATCTCATTCATAAGTTATTAGAACTGATTTTTAAGGACATATTTAAGAAGGAATATAGTCAAGAGCAGCTTCCTATCTCGATAGCTTAATTAATGATTCTTGTTCATATTTGTCAGTAGAAATGGAAGATTTTAAACGTCTCTGCCGAGAATGACTTCAATTAAGTAAATTGATATGCCATTAACATTAGTATAAAAATGTATCTCCTTATGAAATTGAATATAAACCTAAACTGAATTTCTTTAAGTTGACCAATAACTGAAATTTGCATATTTCCTTACACCATAAATGAACTTAATAAACACATTTTTATGATAGGTATAAAGCTTATTTATTTCTTATCGAAAATGCTTCTGAGAATTAACTGATAAAGAGATTATCCTGAATATTGTCCACAATGTCAGAGTACGAATACCAGAAATATGGACTCAGCCGATGAAATTAAGTCCATATTTAGTGTAGCATAATGTTGCATTAGATGTTTGGTCGAGAATAGTTGGTGAATAAAACCCATAAATTATGACCTATTATATTATATCTATGAAAAATATTGAAGCGAATTTGGATCATCTTAATTAAAATACTTACCAATGAATAATGCGTGTTATAATAATTTGTATTAAACATAAGTTAATATGAAAACTGATTTTTTTATAAGATTGTAGTAAGAATGCCAAGCAAAAACATAATTATTAATCTTTGCTAATGGCACAATTTTCACTAGATTTAAAATTAGTATATTTTTTATTAAAATAACGACAGCCAGGTAAAATTCAAATAATAACCGATATCAATGGACCTTTCGAAATGACTTACGTAGTTTTCATATTAGTTGCAAAAATTAAATTTACAGCTTGTGATTTCTTATCGACGTATGAGAGTCATGTAGATTAAAGTAGAAATAGTGCTCACATGATAGATGTTCAAAAGTTCTCGAAAAATAGATTAATATTGATGATAAAATTTCTTAGTAATTTATGCTGCATTTCAGGTTTTACTAAAACAAGTAATCAATTATTTGTTAAATCCGTCATTCAACTAAATATCGTGAAAAAAATAAAATACAAACTCTGTAAAGGGTCCTTCTATTAAAATGTCCAATATTCAAGTTATAATAAGTCAAAAAGTAAAAAAGGTTTGTCTCTCCAAGTTTTTAATAACGCAGGAAGCAAAAGCGTACACTGTCAAGCCTATAAGTTATTTGATCAAAACAATTAATCTTTTATAGTATTTTGATTAGTGTTTCCAGCATTGAATATTTTCAAGGTAGATTGATCTAAATTAATTTCTCTACAGATTTCATCAATTTACGTTTTTTCACTTGCAAGGAAAATAACTTAACTTGAAAAACTTTAAATGTAATTAATAAAATTCAGGTCAACCGGCTAATCTCTTTCCGTAATTGCATAGTTTTGACAAATCTAAAAGGTTTAACACAGAGACTGATTTTTTCGTCATTTACATGCCTATTATGTTCTAATCATTATTTATCTATTATTTTGGCATTGCATATTTCAATAGTTCTTTAAAATAAATGATTGCTGTTAGGTACATTAGTTCTCTTACAGCAAATGCTCATCAAACATCAATAAGCAATTTTCGAAACAACAAAATTAGTACAGCGGCGAAAAAAAGCAGAAATCACATTCGATTAAGCGCGTAATAATAACCGAACTCGAGTTTGATACCCCGAATATCAAACATATAGTAAATTAAATTAAGATAAGGCTATACAAATTGAGGCCATTAATACAAATTTCGATTATATAGATTTTGAGAGAACATAATTTCTGAACGAAAATTTAAATGCATAAATCAATGCCCAGATAATTTTTAGAGAAAACTTTAATACTGAAATCTATTTTAAGCAAATGAGATTGTTAAATTGTAAGTAGTTTAAGTATATGTAAACATAAGGCAGACTAAGCACAAAGTTTGAAATAGCCTATCAGGGCTTTGTGTGGTCTACGTTTCTTTTGTTGGTGACTTCCGTTAATTTTTATACATTATGTCGGCCTCCCTTGCTATAAATCGTATCAAAAGAGAGCTTCTTGAGCTTAACACCAATAAAGTAATATTTTATATCGAAAATAATGTTTTAGATTAATGATAATCCTATTGAGGTTCACACACATAGAGGTAATCTACTGCGTTTGCGTGGCGTGATACATGGACCACCAGATTCTCCTTACGCCGGAGCAAAATTTGAATTGGAAATAAATATTCCTGATAATTATCCTTTCATGCCTCCAAAGGTTTGGCAATAGCTCATTTGCCTCAGTTTTTTAGGTTAAATTTTTGACAAGAGTATGGCATCCAAATATCAGCAGCTCAACAGGAGTTATTTGTTTGGATATTCTCAAAGACCAGTGGTTAGCTTATGCGTGATATCTCGTTTTTATATTTATATTTTATGCTTAATATTCATTTTACGATAGGGCCGCAGCAATGTCTCTTCGAACGATGTTGCTCTCTATCCAGGCTCTTTTAGATAGCCCAGAACCGGATGATCCACAAGATGCTGTTGTTGCTTTGCAGTTCAAATCACATCCTGATATTTTCAACATCACTGCAAAACACTGGGCCTCTATCTACGCACATGGCCCCAACCGACAACCAGACTGTGACGCAAAAATTGAGAAACTAAAACAAATGGGCTTCACTGAGGTTATTTTCATTTGTTCAGTTCATTTTTACGTTTGAATCTAGCTTAGGATTAATTATTTGATTTAGTTAGTAATTAAATTTTTCGTGTTTCACAAACCTGGCGTGCTGGCTAAATAAGGCCAAGTTACGAATAAACTTTAGTCAATGGACAATGGATTTGGACAATTTTCGCAATTTCCTTTCTTATAGTTTTAAAGCGCCTGGGCATTTTGCTCCACGTTAACGGAATTCTGGAGTTCCTTTTCTTTTGTAACAATGAGCAATCTCGAGTGTTCCCTATTTAGTGCTATCGCTTTCTCACTAGCCCATATTTCCTGTGACCAACTCTAATTAATATGGTTATTTATTTCCGTTGGCGAATATGAATCGATTTATTATGAGCTCGCGCTGTTACCACAAATTAACCACCCAGATAAGATAAATTCTTTAAGAATGCAAAGTATAATTCTGTAACAAACTTCTATTCGCTAGAATTTCTTAATTCTTTTGGTAGTTATTCGCGAATGAACGTAGTTTTCTCGTTTTTCTTTTAGGAGCAAGCCATATCTGCTCTGTCTTCGAAGAATTGGAATATTCCAGAAGCCGCAGAATACCTTCTTCTCTGATTGAATTTCCTGAAATTTGTTTTTTTGAAATGTTCCTTTTAGCTTATTGTGTAAATAGCTACTTCCATTGCTTAACTTATCCATGTTACAGTTTGTGATCCACCTACATTTGCTCTTTTGGAGGTTGTGGATGCGTTAACTTGAGATAAGTTTATGATAAGAAAAAGATGACTGTTCTTTATTTCAATTTGGAGCTGTGACTTCTGTTTTGGTTGACTTGTTCTAATTCGGTATCTTGTTTCAGCTTATCAATTCTAGAAAATTAGTATTTAAAGATAATAGACACTTTAAACTACATTTTAAATGGAAACTTCCCTTAGTTCAGTGGTCTATATATCAGAGTACCTCCGTTGTGTTCGAAAGATCTGTCATGCGAAGTAATTATAGAAATGAAGATGTGTTGAAACCTTATAGTTGTCGCTACGTAAGGAGATTGTAAAAGAAGATAGCCATAACTACTGGAGTTAAACCAACATAGGCTATACCACAGTCCTTTCCTCAACTGGTTTTTTACATGTGAATACCTTTGTTCTCCATTTCTGAGTTAATCAAATTGAAATTCAAATAGTGAATTCTACTGGAAGTCAGTTCGAAGAGACCTCACTTAATCATCGAACTCTGTTATCAGTTAATTAAGTAGCGGATGATGGGTAAGGTTCTCGCAAACCGGGAGTAAGTCCGGATACGAGTTAGAAAATTGTTCTGAGGGTGCAATCAATTCGGGTCGCTGCAAAATGTGCGCTGATTCTAGGGCAAACGTCTCCTTTTACAGTTTTCCGTGCTCTAGTACTAACTGCTGTGATGTGGTTAAGAGACAGCATCAGTTTGTAGAGTCAATTCCGGTGCTACGATTAAAGTCGGACTAGTAATCTTACAGGGTGGCGTGTGCATTAACGAGGGTGGACTCAGTCAGTAGCGTCCAATACAAATAGACGCAATTTTATCAATTAGAAAGATGAAGGAAAAAACAATTTTGCTTATGGAAGAAATGTTCGCGTTGAGGGAAAATAATATTTTTTTCTAGAAGGAATTTATGACGACTCCAGCCTGGAGTATGTTTTATCCCTTCAAGCAACTGCTTTCCAATAAGTGTGTAGCATTAAGTCGTTCTGGTCATAAAGGGATTAGAGATAGGGGAAGATGAACAACATTCAATATTACAATTTTCGGAAAAGAAGTATGAATAAAAGCGGTTATTTCAGTCCCTAAGTTCTGTGAAGTTTACAGCACCACTAAGACTGATCAAAGGAATTACCTACACGCTAAAACTTTCTAGATGTGCTTGCAGTGGCCTAACAACCAATGAGTGATTAATATTCGAGTAGTGTAGCATTAACTGTACTCAATTGCAAGATATTTTAGCTATAAGCTCTATGCTATATCTCTGGGGTGTGCGAGAGACTTACCTCCACGTGGTGCACCCTGGGCAACGTATACTCATACGGCAAAAAGGTCTTTTAACTGGCAGTTGACTTCTCACTTCAAACTACCATGACCCCACTGTATGTCATTTCCGACCACTTTCACAGTACTCATTTTACCTTTTTCTCAACCTTTGTGTCTGTCTCTTTTACATCTTTAAACCACTCTTCCGTTCCTCCCTATCGACTTTTTTCACTTTGATGTTCCTCCTCCCCTCTATGAAGCCCGTAGTCAACTAAAGGGATAATGATATCTATCAAAACGTCTGCCATTTAATATAAATAAATGCTATTCTCTTGTGTCCTTGCTACTTTTTTCAGATGAAAGAATGCGTTGGATTTCTAAGGGGTTTACAGAGGTTTAATCAAGAACTCATTTGATTAGTAAAAGATACGGGCTTAAGTTGGGATCTTATGACCTTGATTGTATTGTACTGACTTTCAGTTATTATGCACTTCACAAACCCGCTCAATCCTGCAATTTTAGCGAAAGTGCAAAATTTTGTAAGATTGTCGGAGCACATCTAAAGGTGACACAGAGGGAGTGCGTGGTGAGGATATGGAGCGGCAATGGAAACCAGCTGAAAGCGTAGAGAAATGCGCAAAATGTTTTGGGGCTGGGTTAAAGCGCTAGGTAATGTGGCCATTTTGTGTCGAAAAGCGAAAAGTAAGGCCATCGTATTTAAGGCAAGCTTAGAACAAGCTATGATTTGTCGGTTAATTGGAGCATTACTCGAAGGTCTTCATCTGCCTGCATATTTTACATCGATGCTTCTTTGAGGTCAATCGATATTGTGCACAACTCTCTGCTTCGAGGCGCCTTTTCCATGACCAGAGTGATATTAAAAGAGAAACAGAAATCAATTTGCTGTAATTCTAATGTTTTACAAAAAGATCTGATTCGGGTCAGTAAGTTACTTTTGGGTGGTACAAATGCCTACGATTCAACAGAGCTAATGGGCTGACAGGAATTAGTCTTTTTCGAGGATAACTGTTGAAAATTCCTTTTGAAATGGTCTTGGAAATCACTTACTTTTTGTTTTGTTTTTGAAAAGCACTTACCCCCCCAATACATTTAAAGCAGTATATAAGCGTTTAAATTTCCAGACTAAAAATTTTCTGACTTCCCATTTCCGCTATTTTGTCTGCGTTGTCTGGTTGACGTGACTTCTCCTCCAGGTGGGGAGAGGGGGGGGGGGAAAGACTACCGCAAAACAAAATCGCTTTGAACTTGATGGTGCTATTTTGGAACTACCACTTCACGTCGCTCTCATGACACATAGTGCAAGCTGAACGTCATTAATAAAAGTGGGTAGAAATTTAGTGTACTGTGGAAAATCAAGTATATATGGAATGATTAATTTATACGAGTGACTCTCGATTATTTTTAACCACATTCTAGATAAAAAGGCCTAATAAAAAGGTATTTTTACTCACAAGTGGTTGAGAAAATGAAATAGTGATAGAACATTTCTCCCTTTATATAATGCCTCAATTGGCCTTTATTCGAGTTATAACGACCCGGACTCGAGGAAGGGGGAAAAAGGAGACTTATGTCTGAAAAGACTGTCTCTTTTTTAACAAAATAAAGTTCCTTATATGGGTTTGAAAAGGCGTTACTTGATTGGCTGACTGAGGGACCAATAAGTTTGACATCGTCTTCTACACAGGAGGTGATACATACCCAGATTTGAGCTTGGAAGACGAATAATCATGATAACCTGCTCTAGAGTGCAGGGAAAATATTAGATCAGGCTTTCAACAACCATCTTATTAGCAAATCCCACTAGTACATCGATTATTGATTTTCATTTCTCATACGCCCCTGGGCAATGGCACTTGTCTGAACAAACCCATTAGAGAAATCAGGTGATTTCGATACACAGCCCCTAATTCAGTAGGAATGTATGCAATTTTGCAAAGAACTACATATTCAAAAGTTTACCATCTATGGTTAATCAACTCTCGCTTGAGTGATTTATTGTTTTCTAATTCAATAGCACCCGTAATATTTTATAGACCTTACCTAATTTGATTATATGTAGCTTGTTTGTTTAACTGACAAATCGTAATGAATTATAGGCAGAGTGATATAGTGATGTTATTTGCAGTACTACAGTAACTTGTAAAATTTAAATTATGTTTAAAAATGAACAATACTCTGAGTTTTTTTAACCTCAAATAGCACGAAATATTATTGATACGATCTACTAGTTGTTTACATGGAAGATAGTTGTACATTAGAGATTGCTGTATTTCGCATTTCAGCTTCACCAAAGAATTGAATTGCGAATGGAATGTATTGAAATAAAGAGCTACATACTGATACTACTGGAATGCTTGAACTGAGCGGGTACGTAATACGAGGAAGTGGGAATTCTGAGGGGGGCGGATTTTATACCACATGTGATAAGTATCCCTGACCATTAAGGCGTTTGTCTCCTTAGACTGGCCATTAGTGAATACGAGAGAGAAACTGCCCACTTGATTGAATAAGCGTTACCATGTCGTAATAAAACAGTGAAATTTCATGTTTGAATGAATGTAACAATGAGGTGAATGGGTAATCATATTGGCCCGATGGGCAAGGCCCAAAATAGCTGATCAATTCTTTATTAAAAGGATTGTTACATAAATCGATCGAAGTGGCATTATTTCTATCACTCAAATGAATTTCTCGTTTCATCTAATCTTGTCTTACATAATTATAACCCATTAACGCGTACATTTAACGGATAGAAGTCAATAAATGTCAGGAACTTCATTGATCCCAGTAAATCGCCAGAATTTTCTGTTTAGCACGGGAAATTAAAAACATAATTAAGATTTCAATTGTAGAACAGTTTGCAGAAAGACTTTCCTAAACATTTTTCAGCTTTCTTAGATAACCTCGTCAAGATCAATTTTTAGTTTATTATTGTATCCTTCTTTTCAACAAGATCGTAGCAATATGTTCGGAAGGGGGGGGGGGGTGGTTAGTACATAGTTTGTCTACTATCAATTATCACCAGAAGAAGTGTTTTGTATTTACCAACTATTAATGCAACATCAGAAGGAAATGTCTCATAAACTAAGATAGCATGTATAACTTATAGAGGGGAAAAGATAACAATGATAAATTGTCAAAAAATTGAAGCGCAAGGTAAAGTTATGAATAATTATCAAAGCAGACAGTTAGCTTTAACAAATTACTGATAACTATTGATTTTTCAACAGAAATCAATTTTTTAAACAATTGGTCCTGGATGAAAAATTTTCACTTAATTAGTTCGATTGTCTTTTATTGTACCGTAAGCAATTTAGTATTGTCTGCTTTAAAGTCATCATATATCAAAAATGATAGCGTAATTATGATATATGAAGAAGAAATGTTTTGCTGAATGGAGGTCAGAGTATAATAAGTAGTAAGAAATTCATTAATATCAATAAGTGTAATATAAATCAGTGTTTGTATAAGACATAATTCATATTATCACTTTTTGCATGTATCTCAATCATTTTCAGGGAAAACCAGAAAATGTGTGACTGATATTTGAATAGCTTAAAAAAATATAAATTTGAACTGTACTGAGAGTTACTAAAAGCTATTTATCAACTTGTAATGTGTTACAAGCCGTCTATTGATTTATTTAGCTATTTAATCTATGGAATTTCAAAACTATCGGTTTTGTATTTAAAATAATATGAAAGCCCTTATTGATGAATGAATACACAGTGTTCCAGATACTTGATCCGTAAACTAAAAATGGATAACAAACACAACCTTTTTTTCCAAAATTATAAAAATGATAGCAATGCCATGCTAGTAAATAATACTGCACGAATATTATAGTAACCTTTATTTTCGCATTCAGTATTCCAGCATATAACAGATTATAGTATAATGTTAACAATGTATCCACGAAAGCACTTAACAGATATAAAAAAATAATTCACAAAATACTCATTTTGCTACAGCAAATAAATTTTGTATTTGAAGAAAACTTACTAGAGTACAAACTGGAGAATTTAATTTATGACCGGATTGGTTGCTTATGCTTAAGGTCGTACATAGCCTTGACTGCGAATATCAAGCCTGTTAGTTCTATTACTGTCACATGTTTATTTTATGTTTTCAAATATCAACCCTTCTGAATATTTGGCACAATACATAATTCATTTCCGCTTGGAATTTCATACCTTATTTAACAAGCTTACGAATAATATTTACTTCTATTCTTATTGTTAAACAAAAATGAATTTTTCTTAAAACTTGTAAATACTTTTATTGTATCATTAATGATTTATTAATTTAATAATTTCAACTAGATCTATGTTCATTTTTGTATTTCAGCTTCTCCATGGACAGTGTTCTTATTAGTGATGCTGAGAGATTTTACTTAATTCAAGGCTGCCAGGTATGCTTGTGCATTTGTTCATATTTTAATGAAATAGTTGGGGTGTCGTCTAGACGGTCGGAATCAAATGGACTTTCGCCCAATTGAAGTCGAATCTGGCATTCTTAATCATACAGCCGGTTCAGCTCGTATAAAGATTGTAAGTTGATTTTGCTATGTTCATTCCATTAGGGTAACACAGTGGTGATTGCTTGTGTATCTGTCGAAATCGGAAATACAACTGTTGAATGTCCGAATGAGGGGCGAATTGAAATTGATGTTGAATGGTAGGCTTAAATTTAACGTCAGTTCTACCTATTCACTCTTGTTTAGTTCTCCCACGGCCACTCCCAAGTTTTCTGGCAAATGTGGCTCGGATATTGCGGATACGTTAAAAGCCAATCTTTTTACGGCGTTTGCAAAAGACTGTCTTCCTCTCAAATTTCTTTGCATACAATCGGGGAAACAATGTTGGATTATTCATGTTGATGTCCTGGTAGGTCATATCTCCTCCGTAACCATTGCGCTACTTGTAGCTTCTTGAAAGCGACGGGAATTTACTGGATGCGGCGTCTCTTTCGATTGTGGCTGCTCTATCAACAATGAAGTTAGTCATGTTTTTGGAAGTCTATTTAATTTCTCTTAGGTTGCCTATGTCACTGGCTCAGAAGCTGGCTGTAGAAAAATGTGGCGCTTTAAATTCCGATGGCATTTCACTTTCTACTAATAATCTCCCAACGTTTGTGACTGTTCATAAGGTATTGTTTGCTTCATTTTTAATTTTCTGGATTATAGATTGGCGAATCCTATATTGTTGACACTAACAAGGAGGAGGAAGCCTGCTCATTTTCTCGGTAATAAAACTGTCTACTTAAAATCTATACGTAGCAATTCTTTTGTTCCTTTTCGTGAAGTGTCGTGTAAATACATACCGACGCTTTTGTGTAATACTTTGTGATTATTAGACAAATGTCAACAAACATGTGATCGTCTAATCTCGAAATCAGGTATAATTTTTTTCTGGTCTACACTCAATTTTTTTAACTTTTGGTAAATTTGCAAGTATTGTAATTGGTTGCACAAATTAAATTATCATAGTTTTCTCATTTTTTGTTTTCCTTCAGGGTTTTTGTTGCTGTTCGTTGCGATGGAACTATCACGACCATAATTAAGGAGGGCTGTGGAAGTCAACATGTTGATTCTCTTATCAATATGGTCTCGGTAAGTTCTTTGTTTATATTGCACTATTGTGCTTAGAATTTAGAAACATTTTGGTATTGAGGTTCTTTTCTGAGTCTGTACTGTTCATTGTTTTTCAAAAGAAGGTCATATTCTTATTATTCATAATATTAGTTGACGTTCATTTTTAATTATCTGTGATTTCGTATACTTTAAAACAACCGAGCTATTTAGTTGTTGAACTTTTTTGAAAATATTTTTAATCTTCGTAGATAGCAATTTTAATTTATTTCCCCTATTTTCGCGGGTGTTAGATATTTTTTTTGAAAATTGTCCCACTGTGTTTTCATTGGCTTTGAAAGGTGTCCGATAAATATATCAATTTCGTCGCAATCATTATATTTCTTGATGAAACGGAAGTGAATTTCCTTACCAGTAACTTCGAATAAAAAGAAGTGGCATATAACTTATTTTGCTTTGATTTTGCTCTACTTTGAGCCTTGTTGGTTAATGTTTGTAATAATATCGATTTTCCCATTAGTGCTCAGGAAGAAAGACCCTGGCACATCGTTAGGGTTTCTTCGAGTAGTCTTAATCCCGTAAACTGTGTTCTTAAATCCCAAATCTTTTAAGCAAAATCAAGCAGTAGCATTTCTCAACTAACTAATTTCTTTTAGTTTAACTGATCGATTAAGCATTTTGATGAGAGTAAATGACTTCTTGTCACGCGTGGAGGTTACTGATAAACAGTTTGGTGTCGTAGCACTTTGGCGCTAGTTCGTTGGCTAATTGGTTTGGTGATGATAAGTAATGACAGGTTTATTTGTGCAAGTATTAGATTGGAAAAAAATGTGAATGAGACCTTGGTTGTTCAGCGTGACTTTTTAATTTAGTGCGTGGTTAAGTGAAGTGAATGTCAGTTGCGTTTATCGCCAAAAAAATAACAATTGATTTCACATGATTAATTAGATCAGTTTATAAGGTGTTTCCTCATATGTTAGAGCGATACTGTGACATTCCTTTGAAAGTCCCAATTAGAGAGAGAGAGAGATTTCGTGATTTTACGAGTTTATAGGTAATTATCTTCAAAAATTTGCCTTGGGGGGAATTGAAATAAAAGCGATTGCCAAAACCATTTAGGAAAGTGCTTTCCGAAACTCCGAGTGACAAACTTGAATTCTGCTACTCCCCTCCCCTCCCTGTTAGCCCATGCGGCAGGTCATTCATTTCACAAGGTGTGCACCGAGGGGCATTTAACCCAGCACCTCAAACCGCAAGTGACAGTCATCACCATCCCCTTGTCCACCTGTGGACAGTAAAGACATTAAAATATGCGATATTCGCGTCTGGAATAGATGGCTACTGAAATGCACTTTAAATGTTTTATGTCTTATGCATCATTCAGTGCCTTGGTTGGCTCAGTCGTAACTAATATATATTGTTTCACGGATTGCTCTTCAAGTTTCTCTGCGTCTAACGCTCTCTGTGTGGTGGATTATTCCTCTCCCACCATAATTCACAGTTGCACTTTACGCTGTTCTCACATCCACTTAAATGCTAAGGGCCACTATGTGCACTTTTGGCGGACTTGACTCATGCATCATCGTGATATTCACATCTTTCATATTTTGTAAAGACATCCTCTGGTTTCCTTAATCTGTGGGCGCCAATTCCTTCTATTAAGGCATCTACGCTTTGAACGCTTATCTAGAACAGTCCCCCCCCCCCCAAAAAAAAACACATTTTGAAATCATTAATCTCAAACGATTAGCCTTCATTTGGAGATACTGCTCCTGTGAATAGATTCAAGGTTTTAAAGCATCGAGCCAATAAAATAGGACGATGTCTCTACATAATTAATGCGGCTCCATTGTTTCATTTAAGTCTATTACAGTGAGTTGTTTCTTTCTGATTTAGAAATGTGTTAACGTTGAATGAACCTCTCACCAAACGCTGAACTAAGTTTTCTCATTAGCTAGGATATATCAGCTTCTTCTACTATTTTTATCGGTGGGAAAAGTTTCTCTAAAGGTGTTTAAGTATTTTGCAAAATAATGGAATTATTCTTCCGACTAACATGATTACTTTTCTGACCTCGACTTTTCAAATTCCTTGTGTGCCACGATCCCCTTCTCACGGAGGTGGATACCGACTTTCTTGTTCTAATAACCCGACAACGTTAAAGCCCTTCGTTTCTGAAATCATGGAAGAGACAAAAATTTGCACCTTTTTTCTCTGGAGTTAGTCCCATAATTTTCACTACTAAGCAAATTTCGGTCTTTGATTAGGTTGGAATGTGACAATCGGTTCATTTGTTAAGTTCCGCTAATTTGCGCTAAATATGGTTCCTTAATTTATTTAAAATGATCTTGCAATGACTTCTATTTGAGGAATCAAGTTGAATCTGTTGAGTAAAGTGATTTAAAAGCCACGCACGTGACATTTGGAGTAGAAGTAATCCATGGCAAGGAAGAGAAAGGTGATTAGAAAGTTGGCACGGAACGAAGCGTATATGCTGAAACAGAGTTCAGTTATGCGTTTCGTGCTCTCCTCCCTGCGCTCCAAATAAGTCGAAACGTGGATGGAAGGAGAGAGAGATGAGAGCGCCTCTTCTGGTCATTTGGGGTGTCTGTTATGCGTTCTTTTAATCGCCTTGCCAAGCAATTACGGCGACCTTGGCTCGGGCGTCCGATTAAACACCACCTTAGGTCCCACCTCTTGTCGACTTCATAAAAACCGTCAAGTGGCATTTCAAGGGAATGCAGTTGCATTCTCGTTTTATGGGGCTATTGGTACCATTTTTTTATTGTTGCTGTTACTATAATTACTCTATTAAATTTTTCCTTTCATATTCTAATTCGATCGGTTTGTAAGCATTGCTGCTTGCCTTCCTGGTTAGTTGCTAGATTTTGCATTCACGGGTTTTGCCATAATAGCTTGCAGTCTTGACAAATGGATGTGAAAACTTTTGAAGAGTTTGTGTGCTTATTAACGCGTTTTGGATGTAGGTGAGGCTCAAATGAAATTCTATCGTATTCTGCTCACTGTATTTAATCCAAATGAATTTTTTATTTATGGGATCTAGTTTCAGGATAATTGTATCACTTTAATTTCTCTCACTCACTCACTCACTCTCTCCTCTTCTATGCCTATGCCTTGCCACTATGAGAAAAAAATGCGTTATTACTAAAATAAAATTACATTTTAAGGTAATTAGGCAGATGTGTCTTAAATGCACAAGGTCTGCACTGTCTGATCAATTTGTTGTCTTAATGTCGCTGTGTTTTCGTCCCCCCCCCCCCACCCTCCCTTCTTCAATTACTTCGAGGTATCACGAGTTGTTGGTGAGAGACTTAACTCCCCCTGTTTAATGTCCAGCGCTTCCAAACTCTACTGCTTCATGCGGGTTCGATCCGGGTTAAACACTGACCGCCTTTGACTGTACTGCTCTACCTAGCTTTAATTGTTTATATTAGTTTAATAAAATTTATTCATAAATCAATCAGCCTTGGAGATTATAGCCGATTCGATATCAACACGAGCTTTCAAGCTATTTAAAGGAAAGTCGTTTTAATACTCAAGGTAAATAACTAAATCAGATAATTGTAAATAGAGAAGTTCATTTTTAGCTCTAATGGATTGGGGATGTGAAATAGCTGCCAAATCGGTGGGTGGATGTACTTCAACACACTGGAAGGGAAGACGCGGTCCATTGGGCTTATTGTTTATCAGCTGAGTTTCATCTCTCTGAAGGCCTTCGCTGTTTCAAGAAGCCTCACATAACCAAGAGTCAGTGAGAGAGAGACAGAAAGACACTTCCCTCCTTTTCCAATCAATAAGAAACGATCTTAAACTTGATTGATTGGTGGGGTTGGGGGGGGGGGGGGGGGGGGGGGCGACGGGACGTGTGTCCGTTGTATGCGCATTTTTGGCAAATGAATGGAACCGCTTTTCTTGAGAAAATTCCTTCTTTGGCTCTACCGTGAAAGAACGCACTTTGCCCTGGGAAATCCGAGAACTGAAACTTTTTTATCATCAGCAGCAGCATAATAAGCAATTCTCAAGTTTTAATTGGAAAGCATTATTCCCAACTCTCATTTTGTGGGAAAAGCGAAATCCTAGATAATTAATAATTCTAGTCAAGATATATATTACCATTCCACCACCTAAATATAAACTAGCCTTCTCTTCGGGGTGATGACATTTTACTTACTGAATGGTGATCACAAAGTAGTGTTCTCTAATGTGCTTGGCATTCAGAAGTGATCGAATGCTCTCAACTCTCTTATATGGAATAAAAAGAAATGCCTTTATAAGCGAGCCATGCGTACAGAAGCATAGTTTTGTTAAAGCTAAAACTTCTCCACTACCAGAACACTGTCACTGTTCCAATTTGAGTATGTGCTCCTCAAGAGCCGTTTTTTTGCCACTTTTTTAAGAGTCAATTGAATAGGCCTCTCCATAAATGTGTCTTTACATGATCCCTTTACTCATGGTCATAATCTACCGAAAATTGATGACGATGGTTTGTAGAGATGTTTTCATCCTTACCTCCTTTTCTCTTCTTATTTTCTCTGGCCTATGGTTGTAGGAATTCGGATCTCTCAAACCTGACGCTTTTGTGCGTGTCTCTGGGTCTCATAAAATAATAAATGAGGTGTTTACCGAAATGCTGGCACGGGTACGATGGACTTAGAGACAGTTGTTTTGGAGTGGGTTATCTACTGACTACTATTTATTCCAGTCGAAAGCACTCCTCCTCTCCCCCACATATGTTAGCTAAGACAGACATCTACAGCTTTACACTATTTACCTTCTCTTTCTATTCTTGAGAAGATGCACTACAATGCTGACTCCAGTCTCCTTTTCTATGGCAAAGAATTCGTTCTTTCAGTGTAACTAGTGTTGAAATTTCGCTCGTACAACTCATCAACTCATCATCAGTTCATATCCATACAATTCCAGGGGGGCACTGTGGTATTTTGAAGCCATGTAGTCTCTATCCTAGCCGCTAGGTGTTGGAATATGTATTAAAGTGGTGTGACCTGTAACAAAAATTATCAGGCTCATCAACTTGGCGTGTTATGTGGCCACCACGGAAGTGTACTCTGACTT